AAAGAACTTAAAAAGTCACTACTCTACAGTTAGGCAAACAATCTACAAATGGAGACACTTTGGGACTGTGACTACTCTACGAAGAAGTGAGTGCCCAGTCAAAAGGACCCCAAGAGCACAACGAAGACTCATCAATGAGGTAAAGAAACAACCCCGAGTGATAGCCAAAGAGTTGAAGGCACCAGTGGCTAACATCTGTGTTCATGAGTCTACAGTACATAACACATTGATCAAGCAGATGTGGCAGGACACCACGAAGGAAGCCGCTTTTAAAGGCAGTTATTTAATTTACTACAAAGAACACTGCTGCACACCTGATGTTTGTGAAAGAACACATCGACACTCCACAGTGATATTGGCAAAAAGTTTTGTGGACTGATGAAACAAGGATTGAACTACTTAGAAAGAACACGCAGCACTACATCTGGCGTAATGAGGGCACTGCATATCATCATGGAAACATCATCCCAGCCGTAGAGTATGGTGGAGGAAAAATCATGATTTGGGCCTGCTTTGCTGCGTGATGGCCTGGCCAGCTTGCAGTCGTTGAGGGGAAGATGAAATCCCAAATGTATCAAAGAATTCTTCAGGATAATATGAGAATGTCTGTACATCAGCTGAAACTCTGTAAATATTGGATGATGCAACAGGACAATGACCCAAAGCAGCGAAGCAAGTCCACAACAGGATGGCTTTGGAAAAACAAAAACTGCCTTTTGGAGTGGCCAAGTCAGAGTCCAGACCTCAACCCAACAGAGATGCTCTGAAATGACTTGAAGAGAGCCATACACATGAGACTTCCAAAGAATATGAGAGAGCTAAAGCAGTTCTGCCAGGAAGAATGGGCTAAAATCCCTCCTGAACGATGTGCAGCTCTGATCCACAGCTACAGGAAGCACCTGGTTGAGGTTATTGCTGCCAAGGGAGGGGTCAACCAGTTATTGATTCCAAGGGTTCACTTATTTTTCTACTAGCATTTTGAATGTTGAATGAGTGTATTCAATAAAGTCATGGAGGATCAGAATTGCTTTTGGGTTATTTTAGGTACATTATATTTGTCAATACTCTTGGCTTAGATGATGGTTAGATCACATTTTATGACAAATTAGTGCAGAACACCATGAAATTCCAGAAGGTTCACATACTTTTTCTTGCAACTGTATGACCTCTTAACAATCTGGAAGTTCCTGAGTTAGTTTGTTCTCTCCTATGCAGATCAAAAATACTTACATGTCTATGTATTTAAAAAATAATTAAGAGTGTAATGGAGTCAGAAAATGTTTGGCTTCCTGGCTTGCTATGTGTGTTGCCTGTGGAACAACAGAAAATAATAGGAGAGCTGAGTGTGTGCAGCGGTGAGGTGGATTTCTTGTTTCCATATCACTGCTTACTTAAATGTTCAAAGAATTGCTGGCTTGAAATAGTGGTGATGGTTTGGAGTGACTTTTGTGTTTGTAACGCACTTGAGATCGTGGACAACACTCAAAGGACAACAAAGGTGCTTCTTTACTAAGCATTGAGCTTATTTTAACTAACAATTCCCAGCCTACTAATATAAACAGAATTGTCAATAGAAAATGTAGTAACTTCTGTATAATCTCTATTATGTGACTATTGTAACTATCTAATCTGCTTTAGTGCTAATTTTAATTATGAGTAGGACTGCAGAGTGTGGAGAAGTTTGTGTACTTGATCCATGGAGGAGTTATTCTTACATAGGACCTTCACATAGTGCGAATCAATATCACACAAGGTTGTTAGAAATCTCTCATAAACCTTTTGAAAAATGTTAATAATACTTTGAGTTTAAAGAGACAGATTATCTGACATTCAAAATCTGTCTTCTGGCAAAAATTAGATTAGAGAGAAATGCTTGATAAAGCATTTAATATCCTACCTAACTTTATAGTGTTACACACTGATCATGTATTTCTGACTGATTTCAATTACCATTTTCTTTCCTGAATCACAGCGCTTCACTTAGAATAAATTTCTATGTTGTAGTACAGTATCTAGCTGATTTAAATGTCAGTGCAATTTGTGTGGTTTGGTTGTTTTTTAAAAGGTAGGTATAGTACTTTCCTCTGAATCCTCAATTTAAAAGAAGGAATGACTTGTTGAGAGTGTGACTTACTCGTTGCATCTCTTGATGAAGAGACACCTGATAATTCAGGTAAAAAATTCCGCAGTCCCTCTTCCTTTAAAAATGTGCAGTCTAGACATGACGGAGCAGTGGAGCAAGTCCTGGAGGTCTTGAGAGTGGTTTGTAGACTTATAGACTTGCAGGTAAATATTTAAACCGTGAGAACTAAGTGTGGGATGGAAGGTGGATGCAGGCGTGGGATTGGGACAGCTTCTGCCAGGTCTGGTCCAGATGGGAATACTTTGTGTAAGTGAGCTTTTGGTACTGCTGACTGAGCAGCCATGAGGAGAGGCCAGGAAAAGTCCTCGTGCCTCTCGGGATAACCACTCAGATGGGAATTTTTTCTGCAAGTCTTTTCCTTTATTATACATAATGTCTCTCATTTTTGTGCGCTGTCATTTTTTGACTTTACTGTGTTCATCTCAGTAATGGCTGTCCTATTCTTTGCTTATCGAAAAATGACCTTACTGAGTGATAATGAGGAGAGTTTAGGTCTTGACAAAAAATTGAAATTCATGTCAGCAATTGAGATATTAACTAGAACTTTCTATTACTTCTGTGATCCAAAAAAATCTTATCCTGTATAGTATTTATGTATTCTACAACAGAAATTTCTGCAAACGAAAAACACAGTAAACTTTGTGGATGATGTGTAGTAATTACACCACCTGCTTTTCGTATTATTATTATTATTTTAAATATTAAAGTAGCGAACTGAAAATTAAAGTGGTTCCTTTATATCTTCATGCTTTCACCTTTGGTGAAAGAGCATAGTTTTGCTGTGTGAAACTGCTATTTACTGTGTTCAGCCATTCAGAGTATTGTTAGAGTCTTGTCATTCTTGCCCATTGCTTGGGAGGGACATGGTAACCACTCTCCCGTTAATACTTTAGTGCTTCAGGGCAGAGGCAGAGATGCATAGGTTTGGGTTCAACAGACGAAAGTGAAAAAATGTGACTGCGTAGTGTAACAAGAGGAAAGCCTGTGTGGTCCTCGTGAGGTTACCGTCGCTGGCTCCTCTCAAGGAAATCCACTAAGAGTTAATTATGTTCTGCACTGTTTCTGAATGTCCCTCAATGTTTTTAAACCCTTGGGGAGACTGAATTATGTGCTGGATGAAAATCACAGATCCATCACTAACTCTCAGCAGAATCTATACAATCAGTAAACCAGGAGGTCAGAAATATTGATTATGGAGGGATTTCCAGGCAATTTTTTTTTTCCTGCTGCCTTCCTTCAAGTTTCTCCCAGTACTCACATGCAATCCACTCAGAAACGTTTTCTGACTTCCAGCCATAATTTGGTTTCATATTACTTAACCTCCTTCAAAATATCTTGTATTGCAATTCTAAATTTTGGACTGTTGTCACAGAAGTCTTAAGATCCGTGCCATGTGAGGAGACTGTGGGGTAGTCTGGAGCTTCTTTATGGTGATGTGATTATCCCAGAGTTTTATGTTCTTTCCTGATCACCTGTTTTTCAATAATAAAATCCTTTCCTCAAAGTGCTGTTTAGAAAGTCAGATTTTATTTGTGTGAAATTTCTTCATTACCTTGTTTTAACCAGCAAATGTCTTTATCTATTCGCATAAACATATATGCATTTTTTTCCCTCTCTGAAAATTTGCTGTACTGTACTCGGTCATACAGTGAGATGCATCAGATGTACAAGTTGATTTCTAATACATAAATAAACAAAAATTCATCATAAATATGTCGGGGGAGGGGAAAGAATTGAGAGAAGCCCTTATTAGAAAGATGAAGGTGACTTTGCTATTTTGGCTACTACACCTGGGATAATCCCTTTCAGTGTTGCGCAAGATCCCAGTGTAATTCCAAGCAAATAGGCCTCAAACATCCACATATTGAAATCACTAAATAGGTTTCTATATTTAAGTTGGAACAATATTGCTTCTAATTAAAAACTCTTACTAGAGCACTCAGTGCTCAAGAAGTCAGGTTAGTGTAACCTGAGCTGGCAGCTGAAAAAGTGCAAAATCCTCTTTGTACTGCCTTTGTAACTTTTACTCTGGACATAAAAGTTCCTGATGTTTGTCATTCTTGTGGGCATATGTTAATCATTTGGGGTCTTGCCGCTGCTTAAGATGAAAGCTGAAACTCTTTAGATGCTAAAGATCAGTTAAATCTCAGTGGATTAATCGTGGCATTGACACTGAGTATACGACAACAAATGCATAAAACTGTTGGTGCTGCAAAAATACGTATGTCTTTTTTTTTTTTTTTGAGGGGGAGGGGGCAGCATTGTTTTTGCCACAGATTGCCCATCCAGCACAATTGCAGCACAGCAGGTACAGGCCAATCCTGTTCCCCCAGTGGATTCTCACAGTGCGCTGAGCCACTGTTAATAAACCTCATGCAGAGCCAAGGAGGGGGATGACTGTGGCAACATCACCCCAACTCCACCTCTCTGCGAGCAAGTGTCAAGACAGGGCAAGGAGCTGCCTGCGAGCCAGCTTGGATCCATCTAAGTGTGCTCAGCTCATGGCCCCCCCATCCCTGACCCCAGAGGACCTGGCAGGCGTGGTGGGGAGAGAACGACCAGCTCTGCGCGAACTGGAGAAGGACTGGTCGTGCCAGTGTCTCTGGCTTGATGCTGCTCGTGCCAGACAGGGGGCATCTGGGCATCATCACAGCGTGATCCTGTTGTGCAACTTCTCTCATTCATCTCACGTGTGATGGGAAATGGGTTGTGCTGTTTTGGTCCTTTGACGTCACTCCAAAGAATCAGGGATGCCTCAGTGTGCTGAGATGTGCCATACACTCGATAACAATGTCTAAATTAATGTAGCAGGAGCAACAATGCATTTTCCAACACTTCGTTTCTTCTTAACTTCCAGGTTTTCCGAAAGAAGGCAGTAGAGCTTGGAGAGAAATTGCTACCTGCTTTCAACACTCCCACTGGGATACCTTGGGCGCTGCTTAACATTAAGAGGTAAAACAACTGCTTTTTGGTGGCTGGAGCATATAAAAAAAATTATGTTGAAACTATCTTCGCCATAGAACTATTACAATTGCTTCACAGCTTTTGTCTTTCCAGCAAGGTAAAAGTTGACCTAAGATCCTTGCTTCTACAATGTACATTAGGAAATTTAAGCAGATATACTTTGCACATACAAGAATGCATACAGAAATGCATCTCTTTACCTCAGAATAAGGTGAATAAGTCATCTTTTTTGTCACTTACTGTGTTGCTCCTCACTTTTTCCAGAGTCCTGTATTGCTTTTAGGGGTGTTATAAGTAGGGTAAAAACAAAAGGACATGCTACTCTGAAAAGGTAAGGTTTCCAGCCACTTCATACTCTTATTTTCACCTGTTCTCAAATGTAGTATCAGCATATCCTTCTGCAGTTTATCAGGAAACGAGAGTGATATCTGGTCCAAGTGGCTCCCTGTTTTACACCCTCTCCCAAGGAGTGGTTTCACTTTTAGCCAGTTGTGCTTTGAAGGCAGCTGACCTGACTCCAGGCAGATGTCAGCAATTCCTTGGCTTGCTAGCAGTGATAACTGCACTGGTAAAGAACATGTTTTCTTTGCACTGCCTGAGGAAGAATAGTGAAAGTTACACTGGTGGGGTATATTTGTGTATTGGTAAGGACACATCAGCTTTCTTTATACTGTGAATAAATCCCAGCACCACCCATCATGAGAAGGTGAATCAAGGAGCAATTCACATGTGCGTGTGTTCGTGTTGTGGTGTGGTTCTTCTGCGCGATTTCCTCTTTGATGGTCAGAATCTTTCACTGTTCTTTGCTTGATCTGCACTTGTGGGTACACCTTTACCCCCAAGCTAGATGGACATTGGCATCCTTGTTTGGTTGGCTGTCTTTGCTGCCCAGTAAACTGCTCGGAGCCAGTCTTACAGAAACCCCTGGTATGTCAGCTCAGACAGGCTTATCTTCATCCTTCAAACAGAGGTGAGACAGAAGGCAAAAAGCACATCAGTGAGCAGGAGCGGGAGGGAGTTAGTGCCTCCTGAACTTTCTCATTGATGAAGGGGCTGGTTACCTGCTACTCCATGATGATCCTTGGACTTTGACTGGTTACTTACATATATGATAATGATTTCTTCCCAACAGACTTTAATGAGTTCTGCAAAAAGTTCAGAAGCACAATGGCTTGAGGTCTGTTGGATACTTGGTTTTAAGCTGTTATAAATACTGAGTACGACACCCTAGCATACATTTGTAATTGGAACACAGCAGTACCTTATTCTACATAGCAGATATAAACATGTTTAAGGTATTTAAGCTAAAAACTTGTCTTATAAGTAGCCCTTATCTAAATCCTTGCTTACCTACAAAATATATCAATGTTTTTTGCAAGTAATTCAAATTCTGTAGTGGATCTTTATGGTTTTGTTCTCACACTGACTGCTGTGATGCAGTACAGATGTCGGCCAGATGCTACAAGGTAGTGATGCAAAAGGGATTCATTTCTTATCTGCCACTAAAGTGGAAGAGGATCTCTGCTGAGATAACTTCCTTTGCTACGGCAGAAAAAGTTACATTAAATGCTGAGTTCTTGGTTATTCATTCTAAATCCTTGCACATCTGTCTAGATTTGACCTTCAGTAGATGACTCTTCCATAATACTGTGCGTAAACAAATACGCTGTCATCCAGGCTTAGGAAATGCTAAGCCACTGAAGCCTGCATATATTACAGATCTAATACGCCTCATTTCTGATTAGTATTTTATTTGATTTTATTTTGATTTATGCTTCAAACTGGAGAACACTCACAATAGATTGTGGTTGTCAGTTCTTATTTTTAAATTACTATTTCTGGATTAACAGATGAGCTGCATATTTGTTGCACTATGCAAATGTTCTTCACAAAATAGTTTGTTTTCTCTGCTCATCCTGCACCATCATAGCCAGACTTGCTCTCTCCTTGCATGCCGCACTTTGTAAACTTATATATGTGCTTTTGTCCGAGTGTGTCCTTACATACCAAAGGCCTTACATCCAACTGAACTCCTTTGCCCTTTCTCTTCTCCATTGTTTTTCTTCATCCTGCTTCTTTCCTCACGACTTAATTGCCATGGGACAATTTCTGTCTTCTTATCAAATATATTAAAAACGTTACTGTACTATTCCTCAGCTAAAATTCTTAGCCAATTCGTGTGTTTTTTTGTAAAATTTTATTTCTGTCTCTGAAGTACTTTTTAAGTAATTAGACTGATAGTTTATACTGGGATTTCCTTTTCTCTTTCTAAATGGTTCAGTTGCATTTCCATATTTCTAATGTTCTTGATATTGCTCTGTATCTTAAGTTCATTTTCAGCACCTGTTTCTCACTTTGTTTATACTGCCAAATTTGGCATTCCTTTTACAGCTTACTTGCTTATTTGCATAACCTCAGAATCTGAGCACTTTCCATCTAGGAGGAAATGTGACTGATAAACAGCAGAACTTGCTTGAAAATATTTTAAAGTTTTGAAGTAATTTTCAAAATGAAAACATGTTTGAGATCTCATATGCCTAAATCACTTGAGCAGTAGGTGGCCTTCAAAATGTCTGTAGTATACTACCTCATTAGAAAAAGTCTAGTATTCCTAAGAAAAGATAATCAATGCACTTAAGAGTGTATTCCCTTATAGTTTTAAAAGGAATCTTAATGCATTGAGAAAGCTTGAAAATACAGAGGAGACAGAATCCAAACATATAAATTCAGTAAACCATTTTGGACACTGAAATGTGATTGTCTTGCAAAATTTTCCTAGGCATCAAGTTGTTTGTATGATACCTTGTTTTTTAACAGAACTGGTAATTCATGCTTTTACTTGTCCTAGTGACTCAACAAGTACTTCCTTCCAGAGATTCAATCAGGATGGCTAATTTTAATTTTCTGGTTTGTGCTATTAACTCTACTGTCTAAATTAAATTACCAAAAAAAAAAAAAAGCCTACTTATTCTTCATATTTTACTATTTTTGGCAAAAAAACCCTGTTTTTTAAAGAGGAAAAACTGAAATTGTGTGCACTGTTTGTCGTTGCAGGACCATGCAGAAGCTGTGTTTAGATGGAATCTTTAATTTTATCCCTTCTGTCTACCTTAGGCATAATTTTAGAGGAAGATATTAACACTACCTAAAATAATTATAAAAAAAAGCTAAATGTAGTCTAGTTTGCACACTCAATAAAGGCTTTGTGTGTGTGTGGTTTTGGCAAATGCTCTACTAATGTAATAAATTAAAGTGGTAATTGTAACAAAAAGGATTTGGATGTTGAGTTAAAGACTGAGATTTCCCCCAAAGCAAAACAGACCAATTGAAACCAGACTTTTTCCTTCAGGCATTTGGATCACAGTGTGGATTTGTATTAGCACTAGATGCAAAGAGATAAATCCTAGCTGAACTTTACCTATCTAAAAATTACTTTTCTGGTGTTAAAGATATGTTTTGGCATAGAATGACTTGCCTTCTAGAGATGCTCATCTCTTTCCATTGACTAAAGAAGACCACAGGGAAATAATTGAAAGAAGTTATGTTTTGAGTTGAGGAAATAAATTCCATCCTAATTTATAACTAGTGACGTTGATTTCAGCTAAGGGTACATTTTCTCAGCACTGTCGTTTCATGTGCTGGTTAACCCCCTGGTTCATTACATGATCCCTAAACAAGTTTACGTTTCTTAAATCAGTACTGGTTGCAAAATAAACTTGAAAAAAATAGTTTTGGTATCACCATGTAATATTTCATTTGATTAGCAATTTTATTGCTTTAGAGCATATTAGAACGCCACAGTGCTTGTCATGTCTTTGCCTCATCTGAATAGTCAGTTCTGCATTGCATGATTCATGCTTTATATTCGGTAAGAATCAAATGGACTTTTATAAAATTGTATTTCATTAAAAAAAACACAACAGCTTTCTTTTTTCCTCCAAGTTTCCATAATTCTTCCATGGCCACACATAAAATTTAAAAAATGTGTCTGGGAGTGTTATTAAACTTCAGATTTTCTGATTGTAGACATCAGTACATGTCAGTGCAGTTTTCAGGATAGATACTTTTGACATGTGGTAGTGTCTGATTTGCCATTGAGCAGTGCAAAAAATCTTATTATGAAAATAGCAGCAAAATGCCATGAGATAGTTCAAGGAACATATCTGTTTGGCAAGGAGGCAAAAAAAGAACCAAGAAAAATATTAATTTTTGTGATAGCCCATAATGTTAAGCTATATTATTCACACAGCAGCTTCAATTCAGCATTGTAACACTGAATTCGTGTGGGAGGCTGCCCTCTGGCAATAACATGGGAAGGATTTGGGAGCTATTATTGCTACTGCAAAATATCTTTCTCAGTTCAAGTGCTTTCCTTCTGGCCAAAGAAAAGAGATTCTAGTCCCAAATTCTGAGTTTAAACACTAACTCTTTCCCCACAGTTCTTCAGTGCACTGTAAAATGAGTATAAATGCTTACAAGTTCATAATTATCATACTACTTATCTGTGTAAAACCCTATGTGAGTGTTAGTAATGTCATTTCTCAGCATAAGCGTATGGTTGCAAACACTTTATAGATCTCTGTGGTGCTAATAGGTAGTGTTTGTCTACAAAACCAAACAAACCTTGTGCCAGACAGTCCCAGAGAAGCCAGCTGGCCACAGGAGGGTCTTACGCTTCATTTCATGGATTTTGACTCCCCCCACAGCAGACACTCCCTTTCGAGTACCAAAAATTTCCCCAGCTATCATAATTTTTTGTCTTGATGGTTAAAAAAAAAAAAAAAAATGGGAAGCGGCTTTTTTTTGGTGTGTTATTTATAAAAAAGATAGGAAATTTTCCTGCACTGGAAAGGGGGACGGATTTGAGCCAGAATGAGAAGGTTACTATTTGCATTGTTTTGAAAATAGGGTTTTATAGGTTAGTACATAGCTGTTGGTGTTGCTTGTGTTCCTGCTTTAGCTGCGTAACTGCTGCTGTCACCTTGATA